GTGCTCTTCCGATCTGAGAGAGAGAGAGAGAGAGAGAGAGAGAGAGAGACAGACAGACAGACAGACAGAGAGAAAGAAATAAGTCAGTGGCGGCGGGGTAAGGGTGTGTGTGTGTGCCCATGTTTCTAGACCGTTGACCTCGAATGCCTACAGCGCCAAGATGACGGGGCGACACGCCGGGTTTCCGCCGGCCCAGCCTTCTGCATGTTTCCACGAGGATAAAAGGGGGTGAGAATCAACGCGTACTACGTATAAAATGATGATATTCCAGCATGCCCCATACTGCCGCAGGCAACTCCTAAATAGCTGCGTACCAAGGTGCTTGTATCTAGCGTCGATCATCCTGCAGTGGTACCGGCACGTCACCCGCAAAGGATAGCGCGTTATCACTAAAAAAGACACGCAGCCGCGGCAATATCCACACAAAGGAGAAGCAGCAGCGGTAGCAGCAGCGGTAGCAGCAGCAGCAGCAGCAGCAGCAGTAGCAGCAGCAGCAGCAGCAGCAGCAACGGCGGCGACAGCGGTGGCCGTAGGACAAAATGACCCGCACGCCGCACGTCCATACCTGAACGTGAGCCACGGCTCTGGCCATCCCGAAGGCCGTCTTCCGGAGCAGAGATAGGCGGGTCTCGAGGGAGAAGAGCGAGGGGAACTCCCTCGGGAGGCCTACACACCAGGAGGGGAGGGACCCCGTGCACAGCGCCAACGGGTTGCACGCCTGCTTGGAGTAGCCCCGAACCATCGCAAGGAACAAAAAAACAACCAACAGCACACGCGAAAAACAGAGAAAAACAGGAGAAACAAAAAGCAAAAAAAAAATAGTTGTGGGTGTCATGAACCAAAAAAAAAAGTGATCATGAAACGTTCGTCCCAAGAGGGCAATGGCCCCGTGCACAGCGCCAAGGAGGTTGCACGCCTGCTTCGTGTAAACCTCGGGCGATGGTAAAATAAAAATCCCGGACGATGGAAAGGAAGAACAGAAAAAACAAATAATGTAGTCAGTCGTGTCTCATTCTGTGGGGAGAGATTGATATCGCAAGTCAGTCTCGACACACGCTACTTTGCAGCAGCATTTTCCCCTCCCGTTTTCAAATTTTCTCGTCTTATTGGCGCCGCTTCGATCTTCTCCGGCAAGACAGCACGCATCCGAAGCGCGTCAAAAACACCGTACCACAGAAAAGGCGTTGTAAGGGCCGACCGACGTCCGTAAAGAAGATGGCATGCAGTTTGTTGTTGTCGTCTTCACATCAAAAACCGTTCCGTTCTCTCTGCCCAGTACCTTCTTCTGTCCGTACTATAAATGGTCTTCAATGACACAGGCTAACGTACCCAAAAGAGGTGTGCGAAAATAAAAATTGAACCGAAGAGTCCGGAAGTCGATAGACGCCAACGACAGTATCACGGAAAAAAAAAAAAGATCTCTCTGTCTCTGTCTCTGTCTCAGTGTCAGTCTCTGTCACTCTCTGTCTTGCCTGACGCGAAACCTTCCGCTGCAGCCCCGAAACGATGCAACGCCTCGCTAGATCGTGCAGAACCGAAGGGTGGGGGTCCGGGAGATCACCGTCCCCGGCGACGCTGCCGTGGCTCACGAGACTGGA